CAGGAGGCTGATATGGGAGCCTTCAGAGTCCAGGAGTTCAAGGCTGCAGTGAGCTATGATCGCACCACTGCATTCCAGCCTGAGCAACAAAGACTCTCTCTTAAAAAAAAAAAAAAAAAAAAAAATAGAGAACAAGAGAGAAAGAATAAAAAAAAAAAAAAAAAAAAAAAAAAGTATACATCAACTGCTGACATGTAGGAAAATACTTTGAATAAAACAATAAAAATGGATGTTGAGGTTAGTATCAATTACTTTTTCACATACTACTAATAGGTGTGTGTGTATATATATATATGAAATTTAACATTTGTGGGGTTTCTTTCATAACAGTGCATGCTATAAATTTGTAATATAGAAAAAAGAACAAAAAGAAAATTAAAATCATCCGTAATACTATCACTGAAAGGTAACACCACAATTAATGTTTTAGTGAACATCCTATTTTTTTAACCACTAACAACTTTTATGTATGTATATACTTTATAACTTTGTTTTTAAGAAACAGGGTCTTGCTCTGTTGTCCAGACTTCAGTTCAGTGGCATGCTCCTAGTTCATTGCAACCTCAAACTCCCGGGATCACATGATCCTCCTGCCTCAGACTCCTAGCTAGGATTACCATGCTCAGCTAATTTTTAATTTTTTTTGTAGAGATGGGGTCTGGCTATATTGGCCAGGCTGGTCTCAAACTCCTGGCCCTCAAGTAATCCTCTCACCTCAGCCTCCCAAAATGCTGAGAATACAGGCAAGAAGATCTCTTGAGCCCAGGAGTTCAAGGCTGCGGTGAGCTATGATCACACCACTGCGTTTCAGCCTGAATGATACTGGATGAAGGATGTTGTCAAAGAATACACATTTTGAGGTTTCTGCCTCCTGAGACATTATACCAAGTTACAACACCCACCCTCAACTCAGAATGAGAACTTGTTTTGAACACAAAGAGAAATACGTATTATGTATTTATTTATTTTACTGTTTTGAGACGGAATTTAACTTGTGTTGTCCAGGCTGGAGTACAATGGCGTGATCTCAGCTCACTGCAACCTCCACCTCCTGGGCTCAAGCGATTCTCCTGCCTTGGTCTCCCAAGTAGCTGGGGTTACAGGTGTGCACCACCATGTCCGGCTAATTTTTATTTTATTTATTTAGTTTTTTGAGACGGAGTCTTGCTCTGTCGCCAGGCTGGAGTACAGTGGCATGATCTCGGCTCACTGCAACCTCCGCCTCCTGGGTTCAAGTGAGTCCCCTGCCTCAGCCTCCCAAGTAGCTGAGACTACAGGCTGTCTCTTATACACATCTAGATGTGTATAAGAGACAGAGTTTCCCTCCTTCCCAGATGCAGTGCAATGGTGCAATCTCAGATCACCGCGACCTCTGCCTGCCGGGTTCAAGCGATTCTCCCGCTTCAGCACCCTGAGTAGTTGGGATTACAGGCATGCACCACCACGCCTGGCTAATTTTGTATTTTTAGTAGAGATACGGTTTCTCCATGTGGGTCAGGCCGGTCTCCAATTCCTGAACTCCGGTGATCCACCTGTCTCGACCTCCCAAAGTGCTGGGATTACAGGCGTGAGCCATCATGCCCGGCCAAAACGTGTTACTTTTCTAAAAATTCAACAAGTCTTTGATTGTTTCAGGAATGGAAATAAAAAAAAAGAGAAAGAAGAAACATGTCAAGAGATATGAAGCCAGATGCAAAAAACATTTAGCAGCACCCTTGCTTTTGCCACTAGTTTTATTTTTTATTTTATTTTATTTTTGAGATAGAGTCTTGCTCTGTCGCCCAGGCTAGAGGGCAGTGGCGCAATCTTGGCTCACTGTAACCTCTGCCTCCCAGTTTCAAGTGATACTCCTGCCTCAGCCTCCCAAATAGCTGGGACTACAGGCACGTGCCACCACACCCGGCTAATTTTTCGTATTTTTACAAGAGATGGGGTTTCACCATGTTAGACAGGATGGTCTTGATCTCCTGACCTCGTGATCCACCCACCTCAGCCTCCCAAAGTGCTGGGATTACAGGCATGAGCCACCGCACCAGGCCTAGTTTTATTTTTTTAAGAGATGGAGTCTCACTATGTTGCCCAGGCTGGTCTTGAGCTCCTGGGCCAAAACGATCTGCCTGCCTCGGCCTCTAAATGTGCTGGGATTACAGGCATGAGCCACCATGCCCAGCTGCCACTAGTTTCTTTAAAAAGATGTTGGATATTGTCCAAACACGTTTAAATACATTGATTAAACAGCAGATATCAAAAGAATATTGCTCTCAATATTTGCAGAGCAGGATACTAAAAAAAAAACTTACCTGATAACATCTTGAACAAGTCAGCCAGTTGATTGTTCCCCACAATCGCCAGTATACATCTCTCCAAGATTTTAATTCTTCGAAAAGACTATTCAAATACTCATGAACATCCCATGTCTTATCTCTGGGGAAAGAGCCTCAATTTTATAAGAAAGTGACATAAATGATTTGCTTTATTTATTTATTATCTTTTTTGAGATGGAGTTTCGTTCTTGTTGCCCAGGCTGGAGTGCAATGGCATGATCTTGGCTCACTGCAACCACCACCTCCAGGATGCAAGCAATTCTCCTGCCTTGGCTTCCCAACTAGCTGGGATTACAGGCGTGTGCCACCACACCCGGCTAATTTTGTATTTTCAGTAGAGACATGGTTTGAATATTTGGTGGACAACAGGAAAAGGTATGAATTATTTGAATATCAAATTATTTTGCAAAGCTAGATACAGGATTACAAATTAAATATAGTTTGAACAGGCCAACAGTTGGGAATTAGGCATATGTTAAATGGAAGCTTTATTCTAAATGCATATGTTATAGGACTGGTGATTCTAGACATTAGAATCATTAATGTATTTGTACATTTCATTAACGTATTAGTATTTTACACTATTTTCAAGTATTTTTTAGTAATTGAGCGATACAGAATATACAATCAGGTCTTGGTAATATAGATTTTTAAATTAAATAATATAAAGTTAAAAAATAGCAAAGGCTCAAAACCATATTTGCTATGGTCATATGCAACTCAAGTTTGTTTTTTTTGTTGTTGTTGTTGTTTTGTTTTGTTTTTGAGACAGGGTCATACTCTGTCACCCAGCCTGGAGTGCAGTGGTGCAATTATCATAGCTTATTGGCAACCTCAAACTCCTTGGTTCAAGTGATCCTCCCACCTCAGCCTCCTGAGTACCTGGGATTACAGGTATGTGTCATCACACTTGGCTAATTTTTTTTTTTTTTTAGACCCAGTTTCACTCTTTTGCCCAGGCTGGAGTGAGGTGTCATGATACTGGCTCACTGCAACCTCTGCCCTGATGGGTTCAAGAGATTCTCCTGCCTCAGCCTCCCGAGTAGCTGGGATTACAGGTGCATGCCACCATGCCTGGCTAATTTTTGTATTTTTAGTAGAGACGGGGTTTTATCACGTTGGCCAGGCTCATCCCGAACTCTTGACCTCAGATGATCCACCCGCCTCAGCCTCCCAAAGCGCTAGGATTACAGGCATGAGCTACTGTGCCAAACCTACACCTGGCTAATAGAAAAAATTTTTTGTAGAGAAGGGGGTCTCGCTATGTTGCCCAGGCCAGTCTTAAACTCCTGCCCTGAAGCAGTCCTCCTGACTCAGCCTCCCAAACTGCTGGGATTATAGACCTGATTCTTTTAAGTCTTTATTTCAGTCTTTTCTAACTTTGCCGGCTTTGTGCTTAGCTCAAAAATAAAATGTCATGATGTTATTACAAATTACACAGGCACATTTGTCTTAAAAGTAATTTTAGGTCAGAGAGGTTTACTCGGGAGGCTGAGGCTGAGGCAGAAGAATCATTTGAACCCGGGAGGTGGAGGTTGCAGTGAGCCAAGATTGCGCCATTACACTCCAGCCTGGGCAACAGAGTGAGACTCTATCTCAAAAAAAAAATTAATTTAAAAACAATTTTTTAAATGTATACATCTGCCAGGAATGGTGGCTCACACCTGTAATCCTAGCACTTTGAGAGGCTGAAGTGGGAGGACTGCTTGAGGCCTGCGCCAGTAGTTGAAGACCAGCCTTGGCAACACAGTGAAACCCTGTGC